CTAACATGGAAGCTCCCAGAAGGCCTCTGTAAATGGAACTCAGTTTTCTAAAGGGGTGGGAGCTTCGCCTGGGGGAGGGTAGCGCAGTGGGCCAAAAGTTGGGCCTTTGGGGCGCCAGGTCATGGTGAGCGATCAGGGCCTCGAGGCGCTTCTGTCCCGCCACGGCTTCGGGGCGCAGCACTCGCTGCTGGCCGCCGCGGATTCCTTCGGCGCCCAGCCGGAGCTTTTGGTGCTGCGAGGCCGGGGCTCGGGGAGAGGTGCGCCATGGGGTGGTACTGTGGATGGGTTGTCAAAACCAATCAAATCCCGTTTTGGTTGGTAGGTGAATTCACCACCCATTTTAGGAGCTATTTTAGTGGGGATTGGGATGATCACTGGGGGTACGATTTGGCTTTTGACCCATGGCCATATCCCACTCGGGGAAGAGGGGAACAACCACAGTCAGTGGGTTATGAAGTTATAACAATTTCTGAGTTTTCGCTAAGTATTCATTCCCAACCTTCACAGTTGCTGATAGCAATTTGAAACGCGCTATAATGTAGGTCCTGTGCTTGGGGATCCTGTTTGTTTCAGGCTTTGGAATTATTGACAGACCCATGTTGACCCAAACAAAGCTACCCATGTGCAAATGTCCCGCGATATGTACACCCCAAGGTGGATCGTATGAGCCTTGTGCCGCAGGCTTGGGAAGCAAGCATGGTTTGTCCGTGACTGTTGGTGCTCCGGCGATTTCTCGCCTGAGCTTGCCACCTCTTGGCAAGCTGCTTGGGTGTCTTTTGTTGTGGGTACCCTGTTTGGAGGTGTTTAGCGGGAAACCTTCCAGGGTGAACCCACCATTTTGCGCGCGCTCCTTTTGTTACACACTCGTTTTCGACGAGCAAAACAGTTCAGGCTGGCATTGGCAGATCCGCGGAAAAGACATGCTCAAGCTTCAGATTGATGATTCCCAGCTCGCTGTTTGGGCCTGTTTGTTAGGATCTTTCAGGCTGGCGCGCATGCGACAAACAACCGCAAAATTCCTTTTGGAGCTTGCTTGGCGGGTTGTTTGCCCGTGCCAAGGAGTTTGTGTGGATCAACCTGATTAGTTGTTGGCGTCCTTTCGTGCGTCGCCAAGCTGTGAAATTGCGCCGTAGTCATATTTCTTAAGGTATCCGGGCCCTTCGGACAAGCAATTCCTTCAAACAAATCAGGCACCCCTGTACAAATGTGTCGTTTCAGGAAAGGCCAACATGAAGCACCATGGCTTGTGGATGGCCCCCAGACAGTCCCAAAATCAGTGGATTCAACCCAACTTTGACCTGGCCCTGGGCCAAAAGGAGATTGGCACCCAGGAACGACCAGCTGACCCGAATCTCACAACTTGGCTACGCACGAAAGGACGCTACTCAGGCTGATCCACATGAACCCCTGGGCACACGCAAACAACCCGCCAAGCAAGTTCCAAAATGAAAGCAGAACACCAATGGGCTTGGTTTTGTGTTGTTTTGTGTCTTGGACTTTCACTTTCCCATCGGACAGCATACAGCCGTGCATTTGGCAGGGGGTTCTTGGGTTTGGTCAAGGGGGGAGGCCAGTTGTTTAGTGGCACCGTGTTTCTCTTTGTGTGGCTCTCCCATTTTAAATGGTCAACCCTTCAAACACATGTTCCCTTCCTCTCTCAACGTCCCACGACTCGCAACAGCAATGAGGCCGTTTGTTGTTTTTTTTCAAGGGACATCGCCGATTTAATTTGCCGGGCCAGAGTCAGCGACCTGTTTGTGAATTCAGGTCTCTTGGTTTCAATGGAACTGAGGATGGACAAAACCCTGCACCACTTTGAATCCATGGGAAACCATTCTTCATTGGCATTTGCAGGGGAATCATCGAATTCCGGGGTTTCTTAGGTGCAAAAATTCGTCCATCCACAGTGGAGCCACTCCAGGCGGTGCTTGGGCCGAAAGCTTCCTGCGGGATTGGACCCGCCTGCCCTCCTGGAGCTTCGTGCACGGCGTCTTGGGCACCCCGCCCGAGGCGACGGGGCGGAATGTCCAATCATTGTTTCGTGCTTCAGCGTGAGTTTTGCTTGCTTGCGGTAAGTTTCAGAGTGGCAATGGAACTTTGGATGGCCTTCCCAGCCATCCCCTTAGATTCTTTGAGCTGTTTAGTCTTCATTTCCATTTCACCCTAAAAGTTCAGCTTTCAATGAGTTTCAAGCGAGGGATCTGAGGGCCGCCCAGGGGTGTTTTGGCCTTTTGCGCTTGAGGTGCGGCACGGGGAGCGCCGGGCGCTGCAGCACGCGCTGCTGCCCCACTGGCGGTTTTGGGGCGAGCCATGGCCCGAGAACTTCTCTTGGAACCCGCAGGCGAGGGGGGGGATGGCGCAGGCAGCTGGGAGTTGGCTCAGAGTCAGAGGTGTCCTTTTTAGGTTAGTGTGGTTAAAAATGGAAGGCACTGGTTGAGATGGGCTTTATGACCCATTTACTGGGGTCCTCTAAATCAGCTGATATGTTCTTCTGACTGGGCGATATGTATCCGTTGGACCCTCTTAAACAGAGGGGTGGCTATGCTTCACGTGGGCATGGTCCCCGTAGAAGAGAAACCCTTCTTTAGTTTGGAGGCGGCCTTCCCTGATAGCAGAAGCCTGTAATGGATTCGAAGCCGAGGCCGGCTAGCATGACTAATGGCTGGAAGTGACCTAATGCCCATTCTGTGCATTTGCCACAGGTTCCATAAGATTCCATCTGGCAATAGGCGTGTCACCTGGTCTCACCCGGCAGCTGTAGGTGAGGTATCCCTCGGCCGACTGAGCCCCCAGGCCACATGGATTATTGCGAGAGGGAAGGTGTGTGTGTGTGTGTGTGCGCATCTGCCATGTACCAACGAGGGTGCAGGCTCGACGCCCCGCCGCAAGGTTGCTGGGAAACCATACACCATACAGATGTATGTTGTTGTTTTCATATGAACTGCTGGTATATGTATAATGTGTGTGTGTGTGTGGGGTTTGCTTTGCAAGTCCAGTTTGTTTTTAGTGTTTTTGTTTCTTCTTCTTTTCTCAGGTGCGTCTGGCTATGGGAGCTGTGGGCGAGTCCGACTCTGCATTCGCGCGGCCGTGGAAAAAATGTCGCGCCAGGAAGGCCTGCCCCTTCTCAAGATGCCACCCCTCCCTCTGAGAGGGTTTCCACCTATGTACCGCCAAGGGGAAAACGCGGTAAGATGGGCCGCTATAGACACTACAGAACGGCTATACACTCCATTTTCCTTGGGATAATTCGTGAGCATGCCGGTTGGCATTGAAGCTCTTCGGTGTATTTTAAGGCCTAGTTGCCAGGGCTCCTTTGTCCCAAGCCCCTAAAGCGAAGCCTGGAGCTCCTCCACTGCACCTTTGCATCTTGTTCACTAGGTCACTTTGCTTGGCACGGACCATGGCTTTGCTCTTGACCTGAAGGCGGATGCTTCCGATCTTCCGGAGGAGAAAAAAACAATCGCACCCCTTTGAGCATGGAACTAGGGTCCTCCTCTTGTCTTTGCGCTGGTGTCTGTCCTGAAATGGATGCTGCAGTCTAACATGCCCTGCTTCAGGGCTCCTAGACTTCTCTCTTTGGTGCCTTCTGGGCCCGTTTTAAGTCAGTGTCCTTCAGGTGTGATGTTGAAAGGGAGGGGTCGACAGTTTTGCTCAGTTCAGTGGCGCCATTTAAATCCTGTTTTGTTGGTGGGTTTCCCGCTGATTCGATTGGTTACCCCCCGAAACGGCCCCCTTTTTCTACCATCACTGGGCTATAGGAACCTGCCCGCGCTTCCGTCCGCAGGCAGCTGCCGAGTGAGCACACGCGATAGGGCACTATTTGCAGGGGTTTCCCTTTGCTGGCTTTTCGATTTGTAGGGAATCCCCGCTCCCTTGTTCCCAACTTGGTTTGCCTTGTTTCCCTTGAATCAACAATAGCAGCGGCCAGTGCTGTTGGAGGTTTGGAGGCGGCTGATGGGAGGCAAGGGAAAAAGCACGCCAATCCGAGCGACGCAAGTTCCAATCCGTGACAGACAGTTTGGAAATAGAGGAGACCGTTTCAGATGGCGTTCTTCTATTTCGTCATGTTGAACCCGGAGGGGTTCGATTCAAATGATCAAGTAACGCAGGTGATTTGGATTGGTTTGGGGATTTGAACCCCTGGTTTTCTCAGCTTCCCACCACTTGGCAGTGTGGATTGGCGGTGTGGATTGGCTTGGAACCCCTTTTTTGTCAAGGGTAAATAGTTGAACCCCGCGGGGAAATGGGAAACCGACCCCGCCGAAACCCGTGCGGCTTCCCCTCGCAGGTGGATGACGCGCGCTCGGCCAGCAGCTCATCGCCTGAAGCCCAGCCGAAGGTTTGGCCGAGTTGGAGGTGGATTCTCCCCAAAGTAGGTCAGCTCAACAGGTTGGGTGCATGCAGCTGAGCCCTGTCTGCAGGGAAAAGCCATTACGGCAACGAGACAGTGAGACCGAAGCAAAAGGTTAGGTTGCAGGAAGATCGACAGGACAACAGCTAGTTTATGGTGTGTTGGGGCCATCTCAGGTGGATGTTGCTTAACCAAACCCTTTAACGTAACCAGGTGCTTTGGGCGGGAGAGCCAATGGCCACATGCTGCGTTAACCGGAGAGCGCCTGACGACCGTTCACCTGAAAAGGGGGCACTCACTAAGTTTCAACCGGGGGACGGACCTCAATTTTGCAATGTCCTCGTGGGGAACCAAGTATCTTGGTTTGCTCATGTTTGTGCAGGCCTGCAGTCTGCAGCGTGAGGTTGAGTGGCACCTTACGAGTCAGGCGGTGTGGCTGCTAGGTCTTAGGTCGGGTACTTGTCGGATTGCTATTTGTGTACATGTACATGTAATATATATATATATGTGTGTGTGCACCTACGTGCGTACATATAATATGTACGTTTCAATATTTAGGTTTAACACAGCTTAGGGTTGTATGCCAATATGCCAATTTACAATGCAACATGCCCGGTATTGTTTGTCCAGCTTGCTTTGGCATTCCAAAGCGCTTGGTTTCCATGTTCAAGCCGTACGCAGCGGGCTCAAGCTGCAGCACTTTGAAAAAGATTGCTTGGCAGCCTGGCGCCTTTTGCCATGACGGAGCGCTGGCGCGACATTCTCAAACAGCTCTCCAGCGAGCTCGAGCGTCAAACTGCAAAATTGCAAGCGCTCGAGACTGACCCCCGGCCTGGTCAGTAACCAGTAGGTTCTTTTTTTGTTGGCCAGAGTTTAAGCGGACCAACGAAGACCCAACGCCAAATGACCGGCCTTGCGGTTTTGCTTTATTTCCTTTTGTCTCTCCCTCTCTCTCTCTCTCTCTCTCTTTCTCTGTGTTTCTTTTGGTTTCTCTCTTTAGTCGGCGTTTTGTTTTTCCTTAAATTCTACACATGTATCTTTGTTTGTGTTGTCCGATGGAACGCTGGGCAACTAAGGAGAACCTGCAACTTCGTCAAGGCGGGCAACTCAAAGTCAAACAAGTGCTTGCACAGAATTACGGGTGGAGATCTTGATGGAGCGTTCTGTTGGCCTCATCGTTTTAATGTCTATCATTTTTTCTAACCCTTGGTTTGTTTTGCCCGCGAAGGTCATGAGAGCCCAATGTCATCACCAGCCGCAGCTCTTCGCGTACATGCCTCCCCGAGTGACTATGACGATGATGACAGAGCACAGCCGGAGATTAATATTTGTGATCGCCGAAGCACGGGATCACCCACCAGCAGTTGCAGCCCGAGCAAGCCTTGGGATGCGACGTCCACCCATGATGAGACCCATGATGAGACCAATGGCAAGGACCGGATGTCGTTGTGAGTTGCGAGTGATTGCTTCACTGCCAGCTTGCTTGCCTGCAAGCTGTGCTGGGCCATCTTCAGAAACAATCGAGTCTATGGTTCGGAGGTTGCATTGGCTCTTCTCCTTCACGCCCATCCCCCCTAAAGGACATCCCGCCTTCGCCGGCGGGCTCGCCTCCTCACTTTCCCTGCAAAAGTCAAACACAGCAAGAGCAAGCACCTCAACCACAGCCAACAGACCAGGTTCATGTAAACATACACATATGGGAAATCGATATGTTTTCTCGCATCACTGTTTGGAGCGTGGTTTTCCAAACAGAAAGGAGCAATTCGGGGTGCTTTTCTTGAGGGTACCCCCTTCTTTGTTGGTTTCAAAGGGGAACAAAAGGGAGAACACATCATTTGGGGGGTCCACTACAGAGGACACGCCCAAAATACAGCAGATTACAGGCATCTCCTTTTGGGCATCCCACGTTGTTGAGTTTACATCTATGAGTTGATTCCACATTCTTGTTTAACCATCGTTATTTTCAAGCACTAGCCATTTTCCGAAGGATCCCTAGAAATAACTCCAATGGAAGGTTGAAGGTACCTTCAAGGATCCCTGGAAACAAATGGATTTGGAAGGTAATTTTAAGGGCCCCTGGAAGGAATGGAGATGGAAGCTACATGAAGGTACCCCAAATCCCTGAAAAGCATGGGAAGTATCTTCAAGGATTCCTAGAAATAATTTCCACTGGAAGGTACCCCTGTAGATGGCACCCTATATAAATAAGTAAGTAAACAAATAAATACATGTATTCATATATATATATATATATATATTCTAGATGAGCGGGTTCCACTCCGTGTCCGTCTCGAGGAGACGGAGCCGAATGAGCCCCAGGAGGTCTGGGGCGGCACCTTGAAGCGTCAGGCAACGGAAGTGGACGTGGAGCTGAAGCAGCAGTTCGAGACCTTCAGGGAGCGGGAGAAACTGGTCCAGGCGGATCCATCCAGAAGCCCAGGTCCCCCAAACCCCAGCTAGGTGCCCGACCTCTCACCCCTTTTTTGGTTGGGAGGGCTCTCCAACCAAAAAAAAGACTACAGCAAGAATCAATGGTACCCTTATTCGAAGCTCAGAACCTGGCACATCTCCATTGAAACCCAGGGGTTTCTGGTTTACAGGCCGGATTTTCCATGGCCGGGCCATCTGAATCCAATGAATCCAGGAGCTTTGGACTTGAACCTTTTGGTTGAAAAAGCTCGGATTTTCCCTTGGTGCAGGTAGGCCCCGAATCCAAGGCCTAATTTGTGGATGGGCAGGATCCATTTCGCAGAAACCATGGTTGGAACCAGTTTGTTGGTGTTTAGCCAAATCTCAATTCAGATATCCAAAGGAATCCAATGTTCTGGCGGCCAAATCTAGCTTTTTCCAAACGGCGCAAAAACGTGATCTCACAAATCCAATTGAAGTGACGTCACTCTTGTTTTTGTTTGGGGGGGGGGCTCCTTTTGAGCAGTTTAAACATCCAACAGGACTTTTTTTTTGGAGGTCCCCAAATTTGAGACAGCCGCTGACCCTTTGTGGTGGGCACATGTTGTGGGTGTGGGTTGGGAAAGGGTTTGACACTACTGAAAATAATGTTGCCGAAGCTTACTCTCCGGTTCCCAACTTGTTTTAGTATTGCTAATGCATAATATTGACGCTAATTTTATGCAAGTATACTTGTTTTATGACCAACACGATATGCAGTATTGCCAGTGCTAGATTTGCCAATGCTAAGCTTAGCATTGCCAATATGTCCTCTTAGACGTCCAGTCCTTGATTTCAGTATAGCCAACACTGAATCTTGAATACTTTCCCAGTTTTGAGTTTAGTCTTGACCATATGTTCTCTTGAGTATTGGCTGCATTTCATTGAGTTCTGCCAGTATGGACTTTGGCGAAATCGCAAAAGGCTGCGGCTTTGGTCTGCGATGTTTCACCTCCTCTCGCAGAGTCCAAAGGCATCTCTCTCTCTCTCTATCTCTCTCTTGTTCTATCTTTCTCTTCAAAGCGTTCGCTTTGTTTTCATCCTTTCCCTTTCTCCTTATCCTGTCTCTTTATTTCATTGTTGTTTCTTTATTTATTTGTACTTGTTGCTTCTTCTCGCCTTCCTTTCTTCTCTCCTTGTTTCCTTCTCTGCTTGTTTCCTGCTCTTTCTCTCTATTTCTTTCCCTTTTTTTGTCTCTTCTTTTGCTGTTTTCTCTTTCCTCTTATCCTTTCCTTTGTCTATTGATCTCTTCCTTTGTCCTTCTCTCATTCTCGACAAGGATAGAGGGAGAGAGAGAGAGGGAGAGACTGATGTCCCTTTCAGGGATCAGCCAGCTGCATGAAAACCCAACTCAGGGTTTTGTCCGCTCGAATCTGGTGGCACGTTTGAGTCAGAAGCATTGGTCAGACCCTGCCAGGTGCAGTATGAGAGGAAGCCTTGGTACGTGGCGGCTCGGCCGGCATGAGCTTCTTTTTAAAATCATAGGTGTCCTTTTTAGGTTTTGGTTAGAAATAGATGGCCCTGGTTTAGGTGGGTTTTTAAAACCCATTGACCAGGGTCATCGAATTTCGCAAAAAGGACACCTATGAAATGGTTTGAGTTTCTGCCGATTTTCAAGTTTCTTTGCTTGTTGCTTTGTGGTCCTTTGAACTAGTGGCAAACACCCGAATCATTTTTGAGCTCATTCTTTCAGTCGGAGGTAAACCCGCAGAGAAGCAACAAGTTTGCCGCCTGGCAGGCGCGAGTGATTCAGCATAGCCGCGCCTGTGTGAAGAAGCAGCAGTCCGGGGGGTAATCTTCGTTGCACAAATGACTCCAGCTTTTTCACGTTGCCAGTGGCAATTTTCAGATGAAACAGCTGCCCGTCTGACCGAAGCTGCCCACCCTCGCCCTTGCGGTACTCTTGTCCGAACTGGATGGGGATTGGATACATATTCATTGTTTGTAGTTTTGACCCAGGATTAATAAACCCCGTCCCTTTCTTAGGGGGGTGTTCCCTCCAAAAGTGATGAATCCCCACGAAAAGGGTACACCCCCTATTAATCAACCAGTTTATTGCTCCGGGGTTATCATTAATGAGCTCGCCGAAAAATGACACGAGCTCACCTGTAGGCCCTTCAGACATTGCTGATTTCTGGGTTGACATTGTGTGTTGCACGATGAGTGTCTTTGATTCGCCCCAAGTCCTGCGGAAAGCTTCTGAAATGTTAAGACCCGCGTCTTGAATCGAATCGGAATCGAGTGCGGCGCTTTTGAAAGGGAACTTCCTTGCGCGTGTTTCGGTCCAGTGTGTTCTTTCCTTCACTTGCTTGCAGGGTTGTGGGATCACTCGGGGTTTATCCGTTTCTCCCCACTTCTGTGATACAAGGGAATCTCCCTCTTGGGAAGCCCTTGTGTGCATCGTATCACAGTGGATTCCATTTCCCACAGCCCCATGGAATCGCTCGACCAGGTGATCACAATGCTGGCCCTAGGCTTTGTGGTGACGGTCGTGCCGTTTCAAGATGCTCGGCTGTCACAAACGTGAACTGTCCCAGCTGCGTTTTTCTTTGGCGGTTGCGAGAGATGCAGGGAATGTGACATGGAATGAACCTGGGCATTTGAAAGTTTATAGGGGTCATTGCTTCATTTCTTGCTGAGCACTGAGCACCAGCAACTTTTTTGAGAGGGGGGCAGGGTTCCCCTTAAGTCAATGAATGATGCACAGTGTGGGCTTGTTTTGGGCAGTCTTCAGGGGCCAATCTCTGGTCACATCTTGTACTGTTGACTCATGATTGCAGTTGAAGAGATTTTAGTGTTAAGTGTTTATAAAAGCCAGGGGGTTTTGGTCACAACAACGTCATGCAACTGTTGATGCATAAACGAGGTGCTTTAGGTGCAAGTGATCGAGCACTGGTGATCCTGCAGCCGTAGTTTTCATGGGCAGACTTTACATTGCTGGTTTTGCCATGTGTCCCTTGCAACCAGCAACAATTTCACTTCCTGCGGTGGTCTAAGTCTGGCCCACCCAGTGTTGTTCGAGTTTGTGTCTCTGTTTGTGTCTGGGCCGTGTGTTGTGTGTGGCCGTGTGTCTGTGCGTCTGCGTCTGTGTCTCTGTGCGTGCAGGGAGGGCCAGGTCTCCGCGAATGAGCGAGGCTCGAGGGCTTAAACCACTTTGGGCCTTTGGGTCTGAAGGGACACACCCTCGAAGCAAGACGGAAGTGTTCCGCCGGCCTTTTGCGGTAAATTTGGAGACGCTGAAGACACCAAATCGGAAGAGTCGGGCAGGGTTTTACGGGGGCCAAGGGAGCCCACCGCAGGAGTTGCTCATAAAGTCCCTCTTGCGGCTGCGCCAAACCTGGATTTCCAGTCAAACAGGAAGCCCCCCCCCCCCACATGGGTTCTCCATCGAGTCACGCAAGCTAAAAGGCTCGCTCAAGCGAAGATCCCTCCTTTCTGGAGTTGGGGGAGGGGGGTGACCCCTGGGAACTTATGTGGGGAAGACTCGACCAATGGAATTGGGGGACCCCTAGTGATCCCCCTCCCTCATGGGAAAAAAAAAAACAAAACTAAAACTAATAGTCAACAAAAAACACACCAGAAGATGGAGTTGGTTTTTGCCCCCTCCCCCCCAAAAAAAAAACCTCCCCAAAGGCCCCCACACCCCCTTTCTTCCCCTCCCTCCCCCCTTTCCGGGGAAGGCAGGGAGGTTCCGCTGGATGAGGTGGGGCTCATGGAGCTGAAGTGGGACCTGATCCTCTTGACCAGCACCTTGGTGGACGGCATCTTTCTCATCGCCGCTCGGCTCGGCCCGCGGGGAAGCGACGATTTTATTTTTTCTTAGCCCCGCGGAACGGGGCAACATGGCCGGGGTCGTGATTTTTCGGGGGTTTCTGGGGGGCAAAGTCAGAGAATGGCGCTGTTTCCCTTAAGCCAGCCCTTAGAGGTGACTTTGAAGCCAGGAACAGCTGGTGAAGTGGCTGCTCCATCATTTCCATGGAATTGGCAGCCATGCAACAGAACCCCCCTTCAGCTTCAAGAGAGACAAATCAGAAGCGGCAGTTAGCAAAGCCCCAGCTTTGAATCAGGCCTTCTTTCCCCAAGTATCAGATTCAACAAGACATTCTTCAGAGAAATCTGTTATTGTTTGGAGTTCCGTGATTGGCAGGGACACCTCAGCTCTTGAATTCTCCCACAAACCGCTGGCCCGGTAGCTCTCTTTCTGGTGGTTTTGTCTTGGATCTCCGCATCCCAGCGATGGTGACGCATAATGTGCGGGAAAGGTGCTCGTTGATCATTTGGCTGTGGGTCAAAACCAATGGTACCATGTTCACCACGCCCATTTAAGTATATT